CTCAAGTACTGACAATCAATCATATCCTACTGCTATCCTACTGCTGCTACTGTATTATCTAATTGTCATTTACCTACTTACCTTGCCATTGCCGTGCAATGTGCTAAATATGACAATAAAGTTGATTTTGTACATTTTATGAGCAGGTGGAGAAGGAAAAGCAGTTGTCAGAGCTTGTGGAAGTGGTTGTTGAAACACAGGCTGAGGTTGGAGCTAGTGGGTACAGTGTTGTGGGTGGAGGGGAGCAAGGCATCTTCATCAAAGAGGTCTTGAAAGACTCCCCAGCAGCAAAGCACCTCAGTCTACAGAAAGGTACCAAGGGACTGTATTTTACTTTAAAAAGTGCAATGTCAAATACTGTAAAGACTTGAGCTACTGTCCTTGAAGAGACAAGCATCAGAAGCAACTTTAACCTTATAATCATTAAAGGACAAAATTTCCATGTTGAGTACCGGTGTACTGAATTAATTTTGTTTCCAGATGTACTAAGAATACAAAGACAAATCATACAAAGTTATAAATAATTTTTGATGATGTGTTATTGCAGGAGATCAACTTCTAAGTGCCAGGGTGTATTTTGATAACGTGAAATATGAGGACGCATTAAAAATTCTTCAGTGTGCAGAACCCTACAAAGTGTCTTTCTTTTTGAAGAGGACTGTGCCAGGAAGTGAAGTCAGCATACGTCCAGGTGCACAAAATCTTGAGCTCAGAGGACCTAAGGCCAAGATGCAAAAAATGGTACATTCTGAAATATAGCTATACAATAGAATTACTTTTTTAACATCCACAGTATTTCTCAAAGTGAATTAATTTTAACAAAAGTACTTACAACAGTAGAAACTAGAAGGAATGATAACCTTTCTCTTGCAGAGCGTCAAAAGCGAGAAACCGTTCAAAACCAAGAAAAGGAGAGGAGGAAGATTTGGATTGAAAAGACTGAAAGAGAACAAAAAAGCAACAGCACAGGCAGAGCTGGATGTTGAGGGCTCACCTGGTAGATCAGACCTCAGTCCTGTTGATGTTGAGTTCGTATTCCCGAAGTTCAAGATGAGGAAAGGTGGGAAGGCCACTGCAGATGGATCAGAACATCTGGAGGGTGTTATTACTAGTACTAAGAAGAAGAGGAAAATCAGATTTCTAAAGATGAAGGCCATGGATGCTGCTGTGGCTGAAAAGAATGTCAATGAAGATTTTTCACCACATGAGGGAGAGGCCTCTAGTGCAAAGCTGAAGGCCAAGACGAAAGGTCCAAAATTTGGAATGAATTTCCTTAAAATTAAAAAGTCAAAGTTAGATGTACAATCTTCAAATGACAGTTTTGAGGTGAAAGAACTAGAAGCCAAATTTAAGCCTCCATCAGTAGAGTGTGATTTCAACATGCCTCAGGACAAAGCTGAAACTAATGTTCCTAATCTTGAGGTTAGTGTTAAAGGAAAAGGAGAGGGTCCTGAGATAAAAATATCGAAGATAAATCTGGATGTCTCAGATACAATGGGGACAGTCCCAAAGTTGAAACTGCCAAAGGTAAGACTTTCTTGTCATTCAGATGAAATGGATGGAGAGGCAAGGAAAGAAACTGATACATCTGAAAATAAACTGAAAATGCCCAAGATTGACATCAAAGCACCAAATGTGGATTTAGACTTGCATTTCCCAAAGACTAAGGGCAAGGCAGAATTCAAACTTGTTGAAGTTCCTGATTGCAATGTAAAAGGAACAAAAATCAACACAGCCACGCCTGACACATCCTTACCAGTGCTAAACCTTGATGCAAAACAAAGATTTGGAGATGACATTGATGGATCCATGGACAAAGAGCATAAGATTTTCCTCCCCAAACCTGACATTGCAGTGCCCAAGATAGAAACGTCATGTCTTCCTATATTAGATGTGTCATTACCAAAGATGACTGCAAAAAACATTGATACTGAGGGACATGCAAGTACTGGGGTAAAATATGGAATGACAAAATTAGACATCTCTCTTCCAAAAATAACATCCCCTGAGGGTGAAGTCATAGTTGAAGAACCTGGACCAAAAGGTGGAACATTTCACAAGTCAAATATTTGCATTTCGTTACCAAAAGGTAAAGGTGAAGCAAAGGTGGATGGTCATTCTGAGAAAGGACCAAATGTGAAAATGCCACAAATAGACATTTCCCTCCCCAAAATGAAATTACCACAAGGGAAAATTGATATAGAAGGGCCTGAGGTTGACATTTCCTTGCCGAAAGACATGCTAGAGGCATGTGCAGATGTTGAGGGCCACTTTGGAAAAGGGGAAAAGATTCAAATGCCTAAAGTAGATGTCTCCCTACCTAAAGTGAAATCACCTGAGCATGCCATTGCTGAGGGGCCTGATATAAAAGCAGGAAAATTGAGTATGTCATCAATTGAAATTTCACTTCCTAAAGGCAAAACTGAGGGAAATATTGAGATTGGAGACCCATCTGTGAAAGGAGGCAAATTTAAAAAACCACATCTAGATGTCTCGATTCCAAAAATGAAATTATCCAGAGGTGCAATCAATACTGAGGATCCAGAGGTCAAAAGTGAGAAATTCCAAATACCACCCATTGATATATCATTACCAAAAGGAAAAATAGAGGCCAGAGTTGAGGTCGAGGGTCATTCTGGAAATGCAAACATGCCCAAAATTGATCTAAATATGTCACTGCCAGAGGGTAAACTCGATTCTCAGAGTCCTGATGTAAAAAAGTTTAGCATCCCCGGAGCTGATATTTCATTACCAAAAGGAAAAACAGATGAACAGATTAATCTTGAGGTTGAGAAGGGAGATACGTTTCAGATTCCTAAATCTGATATACGTCTACCTAAACTCAAATCAGGAGAAGTTGATTTTGATGTTAAAAGAACCAATAGGAAGTTTCACATGCCAGCAATTGATATTTCCTTGCTACATAAAAAAGACGAAAGATATGTTAATGTGGAACCCTCTGGTAAATGTGGAAAGGTTGATATCTCTCTGCCTGCAGTGAAAGATTCTGGTGTTGAGATTTCCTTGCCAAAAATGAAGTCACCACAAGGTGACATCAGTATTGAAGGGCCTGACAGCAAAAGATTCAATATGCCATCCGTTGATATATCATTTCCAAAAGTAACTGACACAGGTGATGTTGATCTCAAGAGACATTCAGGAAAAATAGGAAAGTTTGATATTCCAAAACTGGATATTTCCTTACCAAAATTTGAATCAACCAAAGGGGAACTCAGTGTGGATGGACCTGAATTCAAAGGTGTTGAGTTAAATATACCTTCTTATAATATCTCCTCAGCAGAGGTTAAAACAGACGGTGATGTTTGTCTGGAGGGAAATACCAAAAAGGGCACAAAATTTCAAATGCCAAAATTGAACATTCATTTACCGCAAATAAAATCAGCAGGGACTGAAATAAATATTGAAGGACCTGAATTGAAGGGTGGGAAGATAGATATCCCAGATGTTGACATTTCTCTTACACAAGGAAAGGTAAAGGGAGATGGCAAAGTTAATGTCAGTAAGGGGGGCAAGTTTCATTTGCCTCAAGTTGATTTGTCACTTCCAAAGATTAAAACAAGATCTGTGGAAGTCAATGTAGAAAGACCAGATGTAAAAGGAAGCAAAGTTTACACACCTTCCCTTGACATTTCTTTGCCTAAAGATAAAACTGAGAAAAACACTGTTATAGAAGGCCATTCTGGAACAGGTATAAAGTTTAAAATGCCAAAAACCGATGTTTTATTGCCAAAAGTAAAAGCTACAGAAGGAGAAATTGGAACTGAAGCTCCTCAGATCCAAGGAGGAAAGTTAAATATGCCATCTATTGAAATGTCCTTTCCAAAAGGGAAGGTGAAAGGAAACACTGACCTTGATGGCAAAAAAACAAATTTGCCTAAATTTGTTATTAGCTCACCTAAGATTAAATCTTCAGGTGGAGAAATCAATACTGATATCAAGGATGGAAAGTTTCACATGCCCTCTATAGATATCTCTCTGCCAGAAGGAAGAACAGGAGGAGATGTGACTGTCGAAGAGCATGAAGGCAAAGGAAGAACATTTGAAATGCCTAAATTAGATGTTTCTTTGTTTAAATTAAAACCATCAGGGGGTGAAATCGACATTGAAGTTCCCGATATCAAGGGTGGAAAGTTTCACATGCCCTCTATAGATATCTCTCTGCGTGCAGGAGACGCAGGAGGAGATGTAGATGTTGAAGGACATGGAAGAAAAGGAAGAAAATTTGAAATGCCTAAATTAGATGTTTCCTTGCCTAAATTAAAACCATCAGGAGATGAAATCAACATTGAAGGTCCCGATATCAAGGGTGGAAAGATTGACATGCCCTCTATAGATATCTCTCTGCCTGCAGGAGGCGCAGGAGGATATGTAGATGTTGAAGGACATGAAAGAATAGGAAGAAAATTGGAAATGCCTACATTAGATGTTTCCTTTCCTAAATTAAAACCATCAGCAAGTGAAATCGACATTGAAGGTCCCGATATCAAGGGTAGAAAGATTGACATGCCCTCTATAGATATCTCTCTGCCTGCAGGAGGCGCAGGAGGAGATGTAGATGTTGAAGGACATGGAAGAAAAGGAAGAAAATTTGAAATGCCTAAATTAGATGTTTCCTTGCCTAAATTAAAAACATCAGGAGGTGCAATCAATGTTGAAAGTCCCGATATCAAGGGTGGAAAGTTTCACATGCCCTCTATAGATATCTCTCTGCCTGAAAGAGGAGCAGGAGGAGATATAAATGTTGAAGGACATACGGGAAAAAGAAGAAAATTTGAAATGCCTAAATTTGATGTTTCTTTGCCTAAATTAAAACCATCAGGAGGTGAAATCAACATTGAAGGTCCCGATATCAAGGGTGGAAAGTTTCACATGCCCTCTATAGATATCTCTCTGCCAGGAGGAGGAGCAGGAGGAGATGTAGATGTTGAAAGACATGCAGGAAAAGGAAGAAAATTTGAAATGCCTAAATTTGATATTTCTTTGCCTAAATTAAAACCATCAGGAGGTGAATATACCGATATCAAGGGTGGAAAGTTTCCCATGCCCTCTATAGATACATCTCTGCCAGGAGCCACAGAAGGAGAGCTTGATCTGGGTGGTGACACTAAAAAAGGTTTAAGATTTCAGATGCCCACTGTTATCTCTATCCCTAAAATGAAACTAACAGATCATGAACTAAAAGTTTGGTCAGAGAAGAAAGACATAGACATTTCAGTACCTAAACTGACTCATGATTCTGATATAGCGACCAAAGCTACTGGTGTCAAAATTAGAGATTTAAATGTCCCTGAAGTAACTTTAGGTGGGAACATCAAGCTGCCAAGTGTGAAAATACCAACTGTTGACATATCTGCTCCTAAAGTTGACCTGGACTTTACTCTTTCAAAGGGAAAGGGCAGTGATAGAGAAAACATTGAACTTCTTAAGGCGGAGGATGGAAGGCCATCATCTGGGGCGAGTTTTGATGTACCAGACGTCTCTATGAAAATGCCCAAAATATCATTTCCTAAATTTGGCAGAAAATTGAAAAGTGGAGACAAACTAGAACTAGACAGTCCTGACTTATCTATAGATTTGGACATGGAAAGAACATTACCATCAGTGGAAACATCTAAAAAGGATACTGAAATAATTGGTACTGCCGCTGAAATGAAGATAAAAGCAGGTGCTGGAGAAATTACAAAACCAGAAATCAGAGTAGAGGGTCCTGATGTTAAGGTCAAATCCAAGCTCAAATTCCCCAAATTCATGACACCTATTCCCAAAGCAAAGCTCAAAGATGTGGAAATGGCTATGCCTGGATATGTGGATAACAAAGGAAAGGTCAGAATGCCAGCAGTTGAGATATCATTGCCAACAGCAAATATTCCAGAATGTGAGGTATTTCTTCCTAAAACTGAGGTTGATGTATCTGAAGCAGATATCAGAGGTTATGAGGGCAGTTTAAAAATTCCTAAGATGCCAACAATTGGCATATCAGTTCCAAAAGTTGATTTGGATGTTTCCTTGCCTAGGTTAAAACTTCATGAATCAATAGACTCTTCTGACTTACACATTAATAGTAGTAGGGGTACAGTAAATCTTCCCCATGTCAAGATACCTAAAGTAGACATTTCACTTCCTCATGGAAAAACAGGTGACATAGATAACCATGAGGTGGAGATTGGAAGGAAGGGTAACATAAGAATGCCAGAAGTGGAAATATCATTACCAGATGCAAAACATGACACATCTAATGCTGACATTAAAGGTGAAAAGCTAAAAATACCAAAAATGTCCGTGCCCAGTCTTGATATATCATTACCTCATGGAAAAATAACGAAAAATGATGATCCTGATTTAGAATTTGGAGTGAAAGGGAGTAAATTAAAAATGCCAGACATTACGGTGCCTAAGAGAGATGTATTGCTACCTCACAAAAGCAAAGAAGAAAGTCATGCACCTGATTTAGAACTAGAAGGTGGAAAATTAAAGATGCCAACAACTGATATATCCCTTCCTAAAATAAAATCTAAAGACGTTGTTCCAGAAATTCAACCAGATGTAGGAAAAGGTAAAGTCATGATCCATGGAATTAAACTACCAACAATAGAGGACACTAATGACCTTGAACTGGGAGTGTGTGGCAAAGAAGGGAAATTTAAGGTTCCTGACATCAAAATTCCAAAAGTAGATGTATCATCTCAAGGTCAACCAGAGAGTGCAGAGAAAACAGAGGTCAGAAGACAAGGCGGCAACTTTCAATTACCGAAAATAACAATACCAAAAGTGGATATATCATTACCATACGGCAAATCAGATGACCCTCAGGCTTCAGGGTCTGTGGAAGTAGAAGGTGGGCAATGTAAAATGCCTGATATTAAGATACCACAGGTTGCCATATCATTACCAGAAAGTAGAACTGGAGAGTTTGATACCAAAGAGAGAGAATCTGGAGGAGGGCATGGAAAACTCACAATGTCAAATGTTAAAATCCCAAAACTAGATATAAGAATGTCTAGAGAAGCAGACATGTCAGATCCTTCCACTGATGCGAGCCTTAAGGATTCGCATAAAGAGGGTAAAAAGATGAGGATGCCTAATGTGGATCTGGAGCTGGATCTTGGCTTATCAAGAGAAGGAAAAAAGAATAAAAAGAAGAATGAACTTCCAGATACTGATCTGGAACCTGCCGCACCGAAAGAAAAAATAAAAGGGCCAAAAGTTAAAGGTTCGAAATTTAATATTGGAATGCCAAAACTAAGAGTATCTGGATCAGAAAATGACATAAACAAGTCTGGAAAAACGGATGCTAAATTTCTAAAAGGAGCAAAAACTGATGCAAACTTGAAAGCTGATTTACAAGCACCAAAGATTCCCGAACTTGATTTTGACATTGAGACTGCCCAAGCTGACACTAATCATTCTGAAGAAGATAAAAAGCAGACTGGTAAAGTCAAAATTCCAAAATTTGGAATACCTCTGCCTTTTTTAAGTTCACCTGAAGCCAACATCAGATCATCTCAGGGAAAAGGTCACTCTATAAACATAGACTCTGAGGCAGAGTATGAAAGCCCACATATGCCAAAATTAACAAAAGCTGTATTTGTTATGGTGAATCCACAAATGGAGAACACTGCTAGTATAGGTGGTGCAGCAAGTGCAGAAATTGTAGATGAGAAGCTCAAGCAGCCAAAGATCAAAATGAAGCCAAGTTTTGGCAAGTCTCGATCAAATGAAAAGGAGAAAGCAATATATTGTGAAGATGAGGTGGAAACTGAGGGAAAGTCAAAAACCTTTAAGCTTAAATTGCCAAAAGTGACATTTTCTTCTGGGCAGAGAGGATCATTTGATGTAACACCAAGTGGGTCTGATGATGGAACAGGTCCAAGTCTAAATGGTGACAAAGATGAAAAATCAATGTTTGGAAAGCTTAAAATGCCTAAAGTGTAGTTTTTCTCACCATACTCAAAAGATGCAAGTGAGGAAGAGGAAATGGAAACAAGCCTGAAACTCAGGAATGAGGCCTCGGGAGAAAGCAAAGAGAGCAAGGAGTCAAAGACAATATCAGGCACAATGTCATTCCCAGGTCTCAGGAAGAAAACAGAGAAGGATGAGGAGGTGAGAAAGATTAGCACTATAGTATCCTCGAAAGCAAAGACTGAAATGTTGGCAGAAAGGGAGGGATCAGAGTCTCCAGTACCCACAGTATCAGCTGGATTTGTCTCTGTAACGAAGAGTGAAGAAAGAGAGGAGACAACATGGTTCAAAGTACCCAAAGTCACCCTTAGTCCCCATTCTACTGGCATCCTTAATATCACACCAGAAAGCTCTCCAAAAGGACGCAAGTCCTCTCTTCCTTGCTCTAGCGAGGAAGCCTCTGGAGGTTTCTATGTGAAGATGCCAAGCGTAGAGTTTTTGACCCGTGAAATGCCCTCAGAACATCTGATTACTAAAACAGAGGGAACTCTTACTGTAGTGACTAAGACAACAAAGTATACCGAAACAAAAAGTACCGGTTCGAAACAGTAAGAATCTCAGTTACAGAACTGTGACATACTTGTCATGTCTCGGAGGTTTTATTCTATTTAATGTAAAGAAAGCAAAAATATTTTCACCAGCTTTTGCAAGAAAAACATAACTTATACATAATGAAAATGTTGAGAATATTATTTATTGTAGACCTTATTTTCATGTTTTGTAACTTGCCAACTTTTGTAACTTGCCACTCTGTATAAACACAGGCACAAATCTGTGTAACATAGATAGATGCAAAGATATTTAAAAACAGTTTGTTTTTTTGCTCACGCTTTTCTTGTGCAGTCTTGAATTACATTTATGCTGTAGAATTTTACAGCATTTTGGTAATATTGCTTTGCCTTTTCGTTGCCTGGTTTGTCTCTGTAGTTTTTGGTTGTTGTTATGGAATTGTGTTTATTTTAAATACTATTAGAAATACATGTACTATTTTTACATATGTATATGCATGATCTGTACAGATAAGACACTAAAATGAAAGCCTGTAATGTTGAGTATTTTTGTGATCCATATTTTTGTCACTTTTAAGATAAATCCAAACAATATTAAGGTTTTTTTTTTCATTCACATTGTGACATGCTGTACCAGATAGCACTTCTCTGTTCATGAGAAAGGCTCTGAATTCTTCTGAACTGAAAACACTGAGTGTGAAATGTTTTTCTTTTCTTTTTTTTTTAAATTAACTCTTGTGTTGGTGATGGAATTAGTCTACATGCAAGCAATGCTGTTGTATATGTATCATATTTTAGGCAGGTTTAAGTACATGTGTTTGTATGTGTTGCTTTTTTGAAACAGTCATTTAGATGATGCTCCATCTCCATCTGATGCAAAAATAGAACAGTCAAATAAAATATTAACATTCTAATGAGTGGTAACTAATTATTTCCTGATCTTTTTCACTGATTTCTCATCATTCTACTAATGTGGCAGCACTAATACATGACAAGTAGTGGTCCAATTCTGATACTGACATGGCAAGAAAAATCTACAAACAACAGCAGGCAGCCTTCCCCAAGATTGAAATATACATTAATATTGAACATATCTAACAATGTTTCATGAATGATGAAACCTACATCCAGATTAAACTACATAGTAAAAAAAAAAAACATAAAAAAATTACATTGGATTCAAGTCAGCATGAAAACACAAAAACACCATAAATGCATGATGAATGCGTCATAAAAAATAGTCCATTGTCTGTGTTTTATCCACAAAAGTCTTCTGAAAAATGTCCTTTTAATATTCCACGGAGTATATAAAGTGATACAAATTCGAAATAAAATAAGTGTGAGTAAAATAGTTTGCATATGAATGATTCTCATTATAATTACAGTGCCTACTGTATAAACATAGATCACCAAGTTATAAACACAAAAGTCTCTTAAGTCTTTGTATTGAGTTTCTACTACCAATTATATGGCTAAACGAAGTCTAGGAAAACAGAGAGGGCAAGAGGGTTTCAAAGGGTGACTGACAACACAAGGTAGCCTATACTCACCAGAACTGACTGAAGATCTACATGTAAAAGCTCAAATGAAGCAATGTGTTCCCGCGTGTGCGTGTCCTCTTCGTGCGTAAGCGTAAAAGCACCGACAGCGTGCTGCACGCTCGGCTATTGGTCAGCTGAGCGCACGCACTAGATTGCGGAGGCTCTGCGTTGCTTTGCCAGTGAAAGCAGCCTGCGCTATGAGGAGACACGGAGGAGTAGCGTGGCGTTCACTTCAACGGAGCACATGAGACCTACATGAGATTTAATAGGTTACACTAAAAATCTACGGTGGTCTGTATTCGGAAATGCTGTCTTAAAACGAAGTAGCGTCATGGATGTCATAATTTCTAGACGGTTCAAAATCCTTCAGCCCAGCAGCATCTTCACAACGTACGACAGCTGGAATTGTGCGATTCGTGACATCGCGTCGGTATGAGGAAAATAACTGGCACACTGTAAAGGTGAGAGGATACAAAGAAAGAAAGATGGGTTATTTATGATTCAAAAAGATGGATATTTTCATGTCAAACCACGAAAAGAATCGATGCAGATAATTCTCCCCTCCTCGAGGTTACCTCATGTTAGATACATCTGTGTGGGCAAGTGTTAGTTAATGATAGATTTGGTGCAAGTGAAGTGATCACGTATTGTGTGTGTGGAGACTACGTAACGCAGCGTCCTCTGATCATCGTTACATAGTTTGTGACATGCGAAATAAAACATAAGAAAAAAATTATTTTACAAGATTCGTTATACAGTAATTTAAGTGTTAAATATACTAGCACTGAAAAAAAAAACATTATCAAATAAAATAATAAAATACATTATAAAATACAGTTATTATAACTACAATAAAAAATATAAGAACAATATTAAATTAAGTAGAAATAGAACGAAAAATCTTTTCTTGATGTGATATGACAGTATCCATCTTTTTAATATATCTTCAATAACTAAATATTGAACTAAGTATAAATAATTATAAGTAAATTTATAACAAAGTATAAAAATAAAATGCATTATAAATACTGAATATGAATTTTATTGAATATTATTGTATTTCATAGTTGTTTGTTACAGTATGTATATAATTATAAAATACATTAAACTACAACATATAAATGTAAATGTACACACGTAATTGTAATAATATACAAATTGTAGTATAATACAGTTTAAAAACATTACAATACGTATTACAGTTTTAGTCAATGCAAGAAAATGAAATATTTGCAATTCTTGTGTGTGTGTGTGTGTGTGTGGTATGGAATGGATTAACTCTAATTTTATCTGAAGACAATTTACCATGAACTAAACTAATTTGTGAACCTGCACTTTTGTATTGACCTTTAATTGTCACAAATAAAAACTCCAAATTTGTAGTATATACACAAGTAATATAGAAAAACTTGTAAGAAAATTAAGAACAAATAGTGAATGGATTAACTCTAATTTTATCTGAAGACATGACATTTTATCGTGAACTAAGCTAATATTTGAGTCTGCACTTTTGTATTGACTTTTAATTGTCAGATATTTAACTTAAATAAAGATATATGTGGTTTGCATTCCGTAACTGTTTGATAAATGCTGTGCTGTAACAGACAAATTTCATGATTTTGACATCCTAAATGTCATTCTTACCCACCACAGCATCTGATATTACTCCCCCAACCAAGAAGAATGCTGCAACAGAACAACAACAATAACTGCTTGGACATGGCCCATAGGGAGCTATTGCATGAATGCCGAAGAACCAATGTCTCATTCACCAGTGCCCTTGAGTTTGGAGCCATACCCCTGATTAAAGGCCTGAGAGCATGGGCTGTGAGTGGCGGCTACTCTAAAACCAGGAGAAAGGCTGCTAATGGACCGCGAGCACAGGGCACATGCCAACAGCCTCCTGAAAACAGGGTGGGGCAGAGAAGCTGGTCAGGTCAGGTCAGCAGTGGCTATGGGCACACACTGGATAGCACAATTAGTGCAACGAGAACTCCAGGGGTCAGGCAAGGCAGTCTTGGCGCTCTTGTAACTGTGGCCACTTTGAAAGGCACTGAGGGGGGTGGCAGGCAGACTCAGACACGCTGCCTCTTTCTCAAGGCCCAGGGAAGGGGCAGCTACATCTGTGCTGTTGGAAACCGAGGGACTGGGACGAGAGTCACAGGTCCACGGACTCACACTGTCATCCTTGAGGGGACAAAGGAAGAGCTTAGATGTTCCTCTAAATGGCCAAAGCTGAGCCAGGATGGGCCAGACGATGGTGGGCTTTTCAAAGCCAAGCCCAGGGCCATACGAAAATGGAGGAAGTGCAGTAAAACAACAGGCTTAGCGGAGAAAAGAACAGCGGCTCACGGCAAAGCGGAAATCGCCAATCAGGGCGGTCAACCGAAACACGGTGACCAAAAAAAAGCAGTGATTTCAGACGCACAACCACTTAACGTAATACCAGATAACATAATAACACAATGCCAAAAGGGTAGCACTGCTAGCTATCCACTTGAAGTCACTATCAACTTGAAGTTGGGCAAAGACGAAAGGGCGCATTCCCCCATATCAATGAAAACTGACGCACCTGAGAGCATGGATCCACAAACCTGCTGCTCTTCTGCCAAACCATGTACCAAACCAGGTGAGCAGGTTGAAGCTGGAATGAGTATTAATCAATCCGATAACTGTTCTGAAAAAGAATCCAGTTGTGCCAATGGTGATGCACACGGAGACACTGAGGTTAATAAATGTGACCTTGATGCAAATGATCGCCAGAACATTCAAGACTTTGTTGCTGATGTGCCAAACCTAGGGTCATCTGTAGCATCTGAGACTAACTTTGATAGTCTAGGAATCAAATTGACCACAACAAACTGTAATACTGAGCCAAGCATAGATCATTCTCCCATGATAACTCCCTCCAAAGTCCCTGTCAGCATTCAGAAAAATCAAGAAGCCAGGCCAGATGAGTGCCTACTGAACCGTGAAAATCTACATTCGGTGGAGCCCGGTGATCTTACAACACTGAGAGATGGGACTCCAGACACAAAGTATACTGTTGTGCCTGAGGGCTGCACTCCAGTGGCTGTTGAATGTAGCACTACAGAAAAGAAGAGGAGGCCGTCCATGTGCTCACCTCAGCATTGGGAGGAATTAATCACAGAGCATGGAGAACTTGAAGTTCAGCAGTCTGACAAATCCTCTTCACGAGGCTTTAGCGCACCAACAGCCAATATAACGGTAACCACTATTCACTCCCTGGTTAATCCTGCCCCTACCACCACTGCAGCCATAGCAACAGCCATCCCAGCATTAAGCAAGGGGGAGGTGGGGGCGAGAGGTGGAGATTTGCTGCCTCTGGTGAACTCAGAGTTGCTATCAGAGCCGGCAAGAGTTGACGACAAGGACAAAGTGGCCGCTGACGAGGGGTCTCTTGATGTGGGCGAGGAGGAGGAGGAGGAGGAGGAGAAGGAGGAGGAGGAGTTTGGGACTTTCATGCAGGCAGGTGGAGAGCAGCTGTGGACGGACGGATTCAGTGAGGTCCAACATTTGGCTGAGGATTGCAACTGTGGTAAGTAAGCTGTCTTGAAAGTAGCAGGGTAATAAATAAATTTTGTCAGAAGGTACAGTAAGTTCTCTTCTGGAGCAGGAACCTGGCTTTGTTTGGGTTTGAGTGAGCAGATAAACATGCAGTCCCAATGTACTAAATAGTCTGTCTGGATTGACCTGGATTCCTGCAGACCCCCTCGCTTCCCCCGACCTCATGTGAAGATATTAATTATTTAAAGCAATGCTTGGAATTCCTACCCCCCCAACCACTCACTCCCCCTGTTGCTGTGTACCAGCCTAAGGCAGGAGGCAGCATTAAAAAGACATGCAAACACAAGGCCATTGGGACAAGAGGGGAGGCCAACCTTCACAATGCCAAAGGCAGCATGTCTAGAGGGAATGCCTTGATCAAAATAGAGGGCAAACACTGCATTGTTTATTCATCTAGTATGTCTTCTACCTATAATCTTTGGTCAAAACCACACTTTTCCACTTAATAATTTTATGGATTTAATTCCATTTTTGGCAGCCACTGTGTAATCTTAATCCGCAGGATTAATCCTGTTCTCTAAAGAGGTGAAATCCAGGTGATTCGGGTAGTGAACATAAACAGGTTTAACCTACTTTTTCATTTTGAAATGACGTCACACAAGTAGATTTTTTAAAATGACAAGTTATTTCTGTAAGCCATTTAACATACCTTCACTGTTTTCCTGTTGGGACATTTCTTGCACATTTCATAACACTTTTAAAGCTGAATGTCCAGTGAGTGGTTCTAAAAGTGCAATCAGTTCTGTCTGAAACAGAAGAATGTGAATCTGGTAACACTTTATTATATTGGTTGTTATATATATTGTGGCAGATCAGAAATGAAATTACTGGAGAGTGGTGCTTAAAGGTTAATGCTCTAACGCAGGGGTCTTCAACTAAAATTGTTTGAGGTCCAGTAATGAACCCTACTCCCCAGCCGATGTCCAGACAATTATATCCCTAAAAACTTGAATTGATGGTTTTTGCCAGACCAAGGTATCTGCAGGATATTTAAACTCATAT